TGGATGGTCTGCATAAGGGGAAGCAATTAATGGATGGTCTGCATAAGGGAAGCAATTAATGGATGGTCTGCATAAGGGGAAGCAGATTTGTTTTTTTTAGAACATTTCTAATCTCAAAATGATCACACAAACTGTTTTGTGTTCACCAACATAATAGTGGGGAGGGGGGATCTTCAATCAGGTTTACTCATAGGAAATATCAGGTAATGAGAAAAAAATGATAGAGGCCCTTAAGAGGACAAGAGCCATGTAGTTTTTTACGTTTCGTATTTCTTGGTGTAGTGGCCAGCGGGAGGATTAAAAGGTAAATAAAATCCATGCATCATGGAAAGCTAAAAGATAATAATACATTTACTGCTTATTTGACTTTGTCTTTAAAGGCGATATTTTGAATAGGTAGAAAGGGGAAATTATATCAAATTTTTCCCATTCTTTTAATTAAGTCTAAATGAATATGTGTGATTTTCTTCCTGTTTAGTCGGTGATCTGTATTGTGAAATTGGAACAGACATTCAAACGTTAAAGGTAAATTTTGAAATTAAAATTGATTCTTTTGAAATAAATTTAAAGAATGGGGAAAAAAAAAGAATTTATGAAAAATCAAAGTAGGCTTTCTGTTTTCTCTAGCCCTACTCCCCTAAATGGGTTTGGACAATAAAATAAATGACTTAGTCGTAAATCATAATTTTTAACCGGTGCGTCCGTCGTGACACACAGATTTACAATTGCTTCGTGGAATGTCATAATTCATGAAATCCCTCCTACCCCCACAAAAAAACGGGGGGCACACCTATTCATGAACATGTTAGTAATTAGAAGTCCATAATATTTCCACACTATCATATTTAAACACAATTTCCTTTAAAGCCGTTCTTCCTCCACACAGTCTGAATATTGAAGTCTGCTCGCTTCTTGCTTTGGTGGTTTGAATCCAACCAGCTGAAACTGAACTTCTTCAACTCTTTTCTTTAGTATTGTTTAGAAGTCTCCTTTTATCATCTTCACAAAAGCCACTGGTCTATGTAGGCTTCATATTTTCATATCTTATTTCGAAATTGAAAATGTTCTTTTTTTTAAAGTTTTGTAAAAAATAATTATACCTTCAATTTCAAATAGACAATTATTTTTAGATTTAGAGTAGGTCTACATTCTATGTCTATAGGTATAGTCTGGGTTATGCAGGCTAGTCTACACTTACTACAAATAATTTCTATTGTCACCTGTTTTTTTTTTTTTTAAATATAAAAACAATATTTAAAAAGAAAAGACATAATTAGAGCTGACCTACAATTTTAGCTTTTCTAATTAATAAACTCAGTGTATAACTTTTTTTTTTCTTTTTTTTTAGTTTTGGCTTGAGCAATGTGACCGATTCTTCCCCAAAAGTAGTACAGCAGTAAGAATCAAGGTAAAAATAAGTTTTCCAATGGTTGAAAACTGGGCCAACTTTATTTAACTTTATTTAGTGGTCAACTAGTCTTAAAAATGTATTAATAGATTTTTAAATCATTTTCATGGAATAATACCGTATTGTTAATGCTATTATATTTGTTTGCTAATTATTTTATCTTTACGGAATAACAAATTTGTAGTCTCATTGATATTTGCAATATTTATTTATCAAAATTAACTTTTATTTAATTGGTATCACTAGACAAGTAGTCGTAGTAGTAGTGGTAACTAGTATCAGCTGCTACAAAATTCATAATTATAAGAATGGTTGTAAATGTTAAGGCCAACAGAAATGATCTTGAGTATGGTTGACATGAGCTGATCTTGAAATAGGTTTGTTTCTGAAGATCAGTCTTAAAAGAAATATGTGAAGCAAACTTATAAAGAAAACCAAATAAATTACGTATTCACATCACCTGATATAAATGTTGGTAGGCCTAAGTAATGAACTTAGAAATTAATTGCAAAAAAAAAAAAACAAAAAAAAACAAACAAAAAACCTCAAATAACTCATAACCTCATTTTGTTTTATATTTTCCTAGGCACGTATCAACAATTACACCGAAGCTCGAGAAAACCAATCAACAAATGACCAGGTTTGTTTGTTTGAATAAGAATAAGATCTTGCAAATTTTGACATAATATTTCCCCTGAAACCAGTTCAAAAGTTTTATTTTAACAATTAGGTCAAGGCTGTTATGAAAAAAATTAAGAACAGCAAAGAGTAAAAGATATTTCTTATATCACACTGGACTTATCATACAGCAAATAATGAAAGGCAAACAAGTTTTCATCCTATAAATCATAAAATTGGCAGAGTTAACATAAAATACAACATAACTTATTTTGAAAATTTAAAGACAAACATACATTGTCATTGCATTTTAATTAATTTAAAGATGGTTTTCAATTTTAATTAGAATTAGGTTAATTTTTTAATGAAAATAAAAATTTAAAAAAGGAAATGTATAGTCTATAAATTCTTAGCACTTTACAACAAGAAATTCCTTGACCTTTTTTCCACTTCCTATTAGATTCCTATTGATGTTAGTATCATTTGATAATGACATTTCTTAATTTTTCATTTTTAGATGGAACATGATTTTTTTCTGTAATAATTTACCCCAGTCATGACACCAACCATTGGGAAAGTTTTCTTCAATTTGATTAGTTGAAAATTATTGTTATAAGATTTGTGCACAATACTTGTCTGATAAATAATTGAATTTTTAAAACTTGTATTAAATTGTATAAACCTGATATTAACGCCATAATGGCTTTATTAATTAAGGTCATGGATGATTTATCACTCCATATCAAGTTGTTGGATGACTTGACTGACAAAGGAAGATGGGACAAGGCATGTGAAGCAGCTGTCACTTGTAACTTTGAGACAAAGTTTGTAGAGGAGTTTCATTGGTTTGATTGTCTCCATTCAGTATTTAGAGTAAGATTTAAAAAAATAAAAATAATTGTATGGTAGTTTAAAAGATACAAAAAATTATCTAGGTATTAAATTTTTTTAAAGTTCTGTATAAAAAGTAATAAAATTTAATATGATATCATATTACCAATTTGTTTATAAATAATTTACATTTTTATTTACTGTATGCATTATTTTTAGTTCATATAATTAATAACATGCTTGACAAAGCTGATAGCAAAATTTAATTTAAAATAGTATTCTATCCTAGAATTAACAATAAAATGTGTGCTGTTAAAAATTTAATTATTTAGGTCCTAGTAGTTTATACCAATTACATCATTGTGTTAGGCTTAAAAGTAAAATAATTTTAATAGCTAAAATTTAAAAATAACTTACAAAGAATATTCTTTCAATAAACCCTAATCCCACCTTTTTCAAATTTCTTAAATGTAAATACTAATTTAGTATTTATTATATATTTGTTCAAAATTTTGTAAATCTTGATAATTTTCCAAACAGGAATATGGTGTCAAAAACCCAGATGTGAGATCGACCTATGAATACAATCTTCATTACCTATACATTCTTAGAAACCTAACGTACCTTAGTCTGTGTAAACGACATGTTGACATTTGTGTCTATGCTTTGAAGAGGTAACATTTTGATGCAAACTTATATCTATTTAGTTTATTAAAATAAAATTTAAAAAAAAACTTTAATTGTTTAGCATAATTTAATAAGTATATGTATTTTAGTTATATTTTTGGATACGCTTTCAAAGAAGACCTACATGGCAGCTATGGCGTACAAACAGACTACACTAACCATGCATTTATGGAACTCTCCAACTAATGTCCACAAATTTTACACATTATCCAACAAAATTTTTTTTCAACTCTTTCTATTGTACATAAATATTTTTTAGGACCAAAAAAAAATTAAAAAATTAACTCCTTTCTTGAAAAATATGCAGTCAAGATAATGTTACAAACAATACAAAACAATGCACAGTGAATTTAGAGAGCAGCCAAAATAGCAAAACAAGAGGCCTGTAATCAACAGCCTATGTCATCCAACACACCCAAGCAGAATTATCAGTGCTATCTAAAGAGAAGACTGGTTAAATGATTGGGCAGAGGGCTCCACAGGAAGATATGAGTTTAAAAACATAGGCTACATATGCACATTCCGAAACAATGCAAAATTGCCTCCAAAGACAGGAAACAGGTCTTAATCTTTTGACTGCACACAGCAAACAAAAAACGTACACTTCAAATGGATAAAACGTGATAAGCCATGATCTTATCCAAAAAAGATGGTACCACATCCACTTGATCACTGCCCATCACTCCAGGATTTTCACCATAAATAGCTACCCTTCTACTCTAACAATGTATACAGAAAGCATTGCAGCCAAAATGATCAATACATTGATCATGGGCCCTTAAGATATAGAAGAAGAGGAAGAAATGAAGAAGCGTACACATTATTCACCATGATTTTATGTCAAAAGGAACTTGCTCCAATGTCTACAGAAACAAAATGGTGTTGATACTAATTAGACACTTTTAGAAAAAATTTGCCATATGCATCTTTGATAAAAAATGTATGAAAATTAATATCTTAAAGTATTTTAGTAGCCAAATTAAGGTTCAATTTTCTGAAGAAATATTTTCAATTATAAAAAATCTGAGAAATTTTATGAATATCCATTTAGCGTAATCATATTTTTTAATTGAACACCCAGGAAAAGAGCATAAGACTATTCAGACATGCTTTGAAATTTTAGTTTGGCCATGCTTGTAGTTTCTCCACTTTTGAATCATGCAAAAGTCATTTTTCCATCAACTCTAAAGAAAGTCCAAATCTATTAAAATAGATAGCTGTTGGACATGGGTGTTTTTACTACAAAAAGTATCAGAAAAAAATAAATTTTAAAATAGCTAGAATATTAACTAAAGATGTAATAGATTCCAAACATCACTGTCATTAATCTTTTTAATATTAATTAAAATGATAATTATGCTATTTAAAATCTATTTTATAATCTGTCAATATTTGTTTTTAAAGAGATGCACTTTTCTATAATAATTTACCTAATTTTAATTTTGTTTTTTTTAGCTTTGATCAGCAATTGAACCATGCCCTATCCTTGGAAATGACAGATGGTACTTGGCATGGTTTGATGAAAGAAATTAAAGGACAGTTTTTTTTTCTGGCGGGTGTTCTTTTGTTAAAGAAGTCCCAGGATGTGAGTAAATATTATGCATGTATAATGATTCTACATTTTTAATTCAGCTGGATAGTTTAGTATTGACTTTGAAAGGTTTAGGCTATATACCAAAAAAATAAATACAAATGAATAAATTCTTAAAAAGCCTTATGTTAAGAAAAATTATTGCTGTAATTTTAAAAAAAAAATCTTATTAAAGGAGACAAATAGTTTTCTACATAAATAGTGATTTCTTTTTTCTTTAGTTCCCATCACAAAACTATTAAAACATGTTTTAAACAAAATCTATTTAAATATGTAAAGCATACATTTTTATTATTAAATAGGGTTTATTACCATTACCATCTGGAGTCAAGGCAGCAGGAGCTTGTTTTTTAACCAGCAACAAAGTTGATCCCATTGACAGGAATGAGAAATGGATTGCCAATCTACCCCAGCATGGGAGCAAATTTTACAAATGGTGGTATCTTCAAAGCTATGATCGTGTGTCTCAGATTGGTATGTTGGATGACTTTAAAAATGGGCTATTTGTGATGTGAAAGTTCTTTTAAGGTCCATCTCATTGTGTTGTAACTGACTGCAGGACTTTTTTAATATTCATTTTTTTTAATGAAATCATTTGTTAATCACAATTTTTGCAAGGTTTGCAATGTATAGCTCATTGAGACAAATGGTTGGTAAGCTGGAGTCAAGGGAAAGGCTGGGTGTTAGAAAGTTGGGATTTTGGTCAGGAAGTAAGAGAGAGTCATGTTCCAAAAAAAGTTTGTGATAAAAATTTAATGAAAGGCTCTAATAGAGGTAAAAGAGCTGCATCGAGTACATGTATTATCATTAAAATTTTGTAGAACTCAAAGAAAAATGACGACATAATTTTTTTCACTGAAGAGAGTAAATATCCTTACGGGTATTTAAATATATCTTCAATAATTAGGAAATCAAATTGAAATACAAATAAGTTTACACTTTATTTTAAATAATAAATATGTCTAACTTCAGCTAAAATATCAAATTTGATGAAATGTATTGCTTCAATTGCAACACTTAAAGAAATGATATATAAAAAATATTAATTATTTCTAAACCTTTCTCTCTAAAAACTCTGACATCAATTATTATACTCTCCTACTTTTCTTAACTTTTGTATTTAAATTTAAAACCTATGGAAGCAAAAGTATTTTCATAAAACAATTTTTCATTTGAAATTAATTAATGCCTACACATTATGCTGCATAAATTATTTTTAAAAATGAATGCAATTTTTAAAAATTAATAAATAAATATATTAATTTTTATGCTTGATGTGAATTTTTTCCTTTATGCAACCCCAACATGTTTATATCTAATGACCAACAAAAAAGGAATGCGTTAATCCTTCCTATTCATATTAATTTAAGGCTGGCTTTATCTAAAACACTCATGAGAATTTAATACATTTAAATAAAAATTTAGGACACATGTTGAGCCAATGGACTAGTTCCAACATTCTGGAATGGAGTAAAACACATCAGTTTATGACACCTGATGGTCAAAAATATCTATACAAGCTTCTTTTTGGTAATGAGGCTGAGACAGAAGAAATGAACCAATCTTTTTTCAACCAATCCAGGGAGTTGTTGGATAAATCAGCTCTCAGGACACAATTGACTGACAGACAACTTGCAGAGATAGATAAAGGTTAGCATTAGATATCAAACATACGTATTAGTCTCAATGTTAATTTTTATGAATTTGGGAAATAAATTTAAATTATTTCTATTGTCATTTTTAGGTTCAAGATCTTATAAAGCCATATGTGATGATGGGTGGAAATGAAAATATTACTAAGTTCCTTCTTGGGGTTGGTGGTCACCCAGAAGGATGCATGAGACTTTTATCATGCAGCATGGGCTTCAGCCTTAATTACAAATAAAAGAAAGCATGAACTTTGCAAGAATAAAAAGAGATATTGTTTTGTTGGTATAACACAGGCTAAAGTTATGCAGCTAACTATTATAAATTACTGATGATATTTTTTCCCCACCTTTGGGAGACTTGAATGTTTCAAACCTTTAAAGCAGTGGTTCTTAACCTGGGTTCGATCAAACCCCAGGGGTTTGGAGAGTCAGTCTCAAGGGTTCGGCGGAGGTCCAAAAAGAATCAGAAAAAAAAAATTGCATTTTATTTTTCCTATTAAGAAGGGTTTGGTGAATTTGCATATGAAACTGGTGGGGTTTGGTACCTCCAAAAAGGTTAAGAAAAACTGCTTTAAAGGATACCTATAATCAAGATGAATTTAATCACTTAAAACTATTTATTGTGATTGTGGGCTTTTTTTGTTATTCTTGTTAGATCTTTAGGACATAAGCCTTCAATAGGGTCCCACGGCATCTCTACAATCTTCTTTCTCACTGCGCCAAGTTTGTTTATTGCTCCTCATAACGCAACTCCAACCATGGTCAAATAATATAGTTGAAATCAAAGTATGTATATTAATAATGACCTTAGGACAGTGAAAAGCAATCTTTTCACAATGCCTGCGGCACTCGGTACAATGAATTGCTTCTATCCCGGACCTGTACTCATTTTAATCTGTTCTTTCTTTTATTATAACTTATATTTATAAATAAATACCTAGTATTTAAAATTTAAATAAGGATAAGCCTACAGGTATTACTTATATTGATGCTTTCAGTTGCATGTAAACTTCATCTGTGCAACCTGTCTCATTTGGTATGGTTGTGTAAACAACACTACTCACCAGAAATGGATGTGCAACCTCACTGTGAGTACTCACATGCCAGAAATGGTGTGATTTATATTCAGTTTTTTACTTTGTAAAATCTATTTGACATTGTATAATTTTACTAATTCTGATGGCAGTTAAATAATGTCTATATTAATTGATTTAATTTAAAAGCCTGATAACTGAAATTATTTAGCTTTTATTACTTCAAAAGAATTCACAATAAACTCCACAATTAAGAATCAATAATCAGTATTATTTAGATCACATATTTAGTAAAGGAGAAAGGTGTTTATTAATGATACTTTGTGATAAGGATCTTAAAATTATTACTTTTGATGTGTAAAACTTGTGTATGTAAGTTACAAAGAGATTGTTAAAGATGGGAAATCTTTCTTTTAAATTTACATAACAATGTGAAAAGATTCATTTTTTACTTATTATTTATTTTACTAATTTTTTATGTGTGGATAAGAATTATGATATATCATAACGTGAGGTTCAGGCATTCAGTTTTTGAGAAGTAGTTCTCAACAACATTTTATTAAAGCCATGAAGTATATTATTATTATCTCTACCTTCTGCAGATCCATTTTTTACCATAGAAGACTTTCACTATGGTGTGAGGAGCATGGACAATGGAGTTATTGGCTCACTATGCCAAACTGACATTTTGGTAAATTGTTCATTAAATTAATTTTATACAACTTTTTTTTATTTACTTAAAGATTTTTAACAAAAAACTAAATGGGAACACATTTATTTTAGATTTTGAATACTTATACCTATTATTTACTGTAGGTTTTCCTGTTAGCCACTGTCCGTTGTTCATCCCATGAGGTTAGTGATGTTAGTTCTTTGATTGACAATGCATGGCACAGATTTCCAATGCCAGTTTGTCTGACTCAGGATCTATGTACCCCAGAGCAAGCTGAATGGTGGAATGCAGCTTATAGCTACTGTACTTCAAAATACAAGTAAGATTTATTTTAACTGATATATAATAAGAGGAAGGCAATTATTTGTTCTTCAAATGTTTAATAATTTTAACAGTTTTTCAGTTTTTATCAATTTTATGAAAAAAAAAAAAGTCATTTGAATAATTTACAGCAAAACAAAATATTTAATCATAAGATATTTATTAGTACTTACAATATATTAAAAACACAAATTTCAGGATTATTTTGCCGAAGGGAAAAATTAATAAAAGTTTTTGTGTTAAGAATTTTTGCATCTAAACAAATGTACTATTTGAACAGATCTGAATTTCTTGATATAAGGCGAATCCTGGTCAAAGGGATTGAAACTGTCCGGCTAGTTGGAACACACGGCATGTCTGTACATATGATGGTCCACGTTGCGAGGTCACTGAGCGCAAAGGTTAGTGGAGTTCTTAAGAATTGATGTAGCTGATTCATGTTTTAGCTCCCGTTATTTTAATGTGCCATTTTGAATGGTCTAGCAATTTTGTTTCATTTGCAAATAAGTCATTTTTATTTTAGGGGAGCCATGTGTGAGCCTGGCAATTATAGATTGATTATTACAATTTTTTTACACTCCAGTTTTTTTGCACTATAAGTCAAACTTACTTATTCTGCCCTATCATTTATTTAATTATTTGAACTTAAGATCAATCAAACTGGGTCTCATCACATTTTAAGAATGTATTCAGAGTGCTACACTAAATATTGTTGTGGGGTTATGTTGTTTTTTTGGTGGGGATTTTTTAAAATAAATTTTTCCACTAAATTTAAACATTTTTAAGCTTAAATTTTTAGTTAAAAAAAAAAAATTCAAAGTGCGTTTATTTAATATGTTTTGACGTTTAAAATTTTATATTATCAACATCATTTTTTGGATGACTTATGAATTCTATAGAGCTAAAATTTGGCTATAGAAACTTATGAATAAATATGCTTTTAAAAATTCAATATTACAATAATTAAAATTGTTTTTTTTTTGTTGTTTTTTTTAAATAAAAAGTTTTAATGCATATCGAATAAAAAAGTCAGCTACATTAATAAGGGAAAGGCTAAACTATTTCTTATACACTATGTTTGCTGTGAGTAAATTCCCTAAAATAAGTTTCCTATATTAGAAACAATGTGTCTTATGGTTAGAAAAATTTTTTACAAACTGGTCATTGTGCTAAAAAGCACACATAAGATTGACAGCCTACATTGAATAACAGTTCAACTTATCAAATTTTTACACAATCATGTTGCTTCTTTCTTTAGTTACCAGTCCCCACAACTGTTTGGTCTATAACTCATAGAATATTGGATTTTCATCAAATAAATTCAAATAGGACAATCACATTCCACAAATGAATAATAAACAAAATAAAATATTTAAGTAAAAAAAAACAACTACATTGCCTTTCCATGTTAGAATATTACCAAATTATATGAAGTCTTTAATGAAAGCTTTTACATCAGCTTCAAAGTTTAGTCTACTTAATGTTATAAAAATTAAAATTTTAACTTTGTAAAATGCTACATTAAAAGAAAAGTGTGACTACTTAAAACGATAGATTCATAGAAAATAAATTAGAATGATATCCATCCCTGTGGCCCTACAGCACATGTAGGGTTCTGGCCTGCCTCACTGCTTCCTTTCACTCAGACCAAACTAACTTAAAATCATAGATTCATAGAAAATATATCAAACAAATTTCAGTACGTTTCAAAAAGCAATTTGCCTTGGAAACATGTAATAAGCTGTTGGGGCAAATTTTAAATTATGATTTTAATATTATAAGGACTCTAAATTTTTGGGGTACAAATTTTATTCTACAGGTAAAAGCCTTGCAAGAAGTTGGAAGTGATTACAAATGTCCAGTAGCAGAGATTATAGCCATTGAAAAGAGAGCTGAACAGTACTGGGAGAAAATTAATATTTATATGGAAAAGCTGCAGAGGTAGTCACTTACAGATTTTAAATTTAACTTAGCTTTTTGTATCTAAAGAATATAATAATTTAGAGCTTTAATCAGTGTAGGATTTTGGATCAGGCCTTTTTGGCCAAGCTCTGGTCCAGACAAATTTTTGTCAGCTCCAGCTCTGCTTTGAGCTCTGGCAAAATTAAAATGGTTGAGGGGTGGTTAAGGGGGGTTCTAAATAATTAAAGAATTATTTTTAAAAACCATCTTATTATCTCTATTATCTAGAGAGGCATATACATTGTACAAGCAACGTAACAGTTAGAAGAGTAGGGTAACATAGCTGGAAGAAGAGTGGGGCTCAACTGATAGCAGAAGTTTGGGACGACATAGCTGTAAAAGTATTGGCAACATAGATGGTAAAAAAGATGGGGCAACAAAGCTGTTCAAAGAACAGGGTATCAATTACAAAAATTAATTTTAAAAAATTTAGTTTAAAAATTTTTAAAAATTTAATTATTAAGAAATTTTGGATCTTGGAGCAGCAAGAAATTTTACCAGCTCCACGTAAGCTCTGGGCAAAACGATCCTGCTACAGAGCTCTGAGCTTCATATCAATTCCATCAAAAATGTTTTCAAAAACATTTTTAAAAATACAACTAAAGGAAATTTTAAAATCTTAAGTTTATTTCTGTCATAAGGATTTATTCCACATTTTTCAAATTCCATTTCATAGTAAATTTGGTATTCACAAGGTTTATGAAATTAAAAGAAATGTTAAGTTATTGAAATAAATACATTGTTTATTTCATATGTTATGTTTATGTATTGCAAAAAAACTTACTAAAACATAACTTACTTCATCAGCCTGACAGATTTATTTTCATCTGTTAGACAAATATAAGCAAATAGCAACATAGGAATAAAGTCATTTTATCTTCTTAGGAATGATAACCTTACAGCTCCCGACAAAAGATTATTTGAAGAACCTCAAGATATGGAAATTTCTCCTGAACAAATTGAATCTTATTTGTCAGAATCCATCTTTTCTCTGGCTCTTGCCTCAATGAGTAGGTCAGACTATGCCAGGGCAATTGAAAATTTCATGAAGATCGGATCTGCAGAAGCAAACCTGTACTGTGCAAAGGTAAACCTTTCATTTTTTGGAATCCTACCATTTGATTTTTGCTGTTTAAAAAATAGTATATCTAAATTCTAATTTTATAGGTTTAGTTTTTTGAGATACTAAGTAAAACATCCCTTAAATTTAAAAAAAAAATTTTTTTATCTTTACGTAAACATAATTGCTGATATCTTTTAAATTGATTTCTATTATTATTGTTATTATATATATATACTTTTTAAAATTAAATTAAATTTAAAGTAAAAAAAATATCTGTCTGTCTGTCTCTCTCTCCCTCTCTCTATCTCTCTATCCTCTCTATCTCTCTCTCCCTCTCTTTATCTATCTATCTCTCTCTCTCTATCTCTCTCTCTTTCTCTCTATCTCTCTCTATCTCTCTCTATCTCTCTCTATCTCTCTCTATCTCTCTCTATCTCTTGCTCTATCTCTCTCTATCTCTCTTTCTATCTCTCTATCTCTCTATATCTCTCTCTATAACTCTCTATCTCTATCTCTCTCTCTGTCTCTCTCTATCTCTCTTTATCTCTCTCTATTTTTCTCTCTCTCTCTCTATCTATCCCTCTCTATCTCTATCTATCTCTCTCTATCTCTCTCTATCTCTCTATCTCTCTCTATCTCTCTCTATCTCTCTCTATCTCTCTCTATCTCTCTCTATCTCTCTCTATCCCTCTCTATCTCTATCTCTCTCTCTATCTCTCTCTATTTCTCTATCTCTATCTCTCTCTATCTCTCACTATCCCTCTCTATCTCTATCTCTCTCTCTCTATTATTCTCTCTACCTCTCTCTCTCTCTATCTCTCTCTATCTCTCTCTCTATCTCTCTCTCTATCTCTCTCTCTCTATGTCTCTCTCTCTTGCTCACTCTCTCTCTCTCTCTCTCTCTATCTCTCTCTATCTATCTCTATATCTCTCTCTCTCTCTCTATATCTCTCTCTTTCTCTCCCTCCCTCTCTCTCTCTCTCTCTCTCTCTCTCTCTCTCTCTCTCTCTCTCTCTTTCTCTCTCTCTCTCTCTCTCTCTCTCTCTCTCTCTAATTGTGTAAATTTACTTTTCACAACTGTAATATCATTGGATCTTTAAAAAAAATTGTCATCCACGTAGAATTGTACACCCCCTATGTCCTAACCCCCATATATATGTGCCTAATAAGTTTAATTATTTGTCAATTTTATTCTAAGGTGCATCGTATGCTGCCTTGGGCAAATAAAACTATCATATTACCCCCCCCCCCAACTGAGTATTAAGGAAATTAATAAAATCATTTTCTGTATTTTAACCCCCTTACTTAGGCAAAAACAATTTGTTTTGCATTTCACATGCTTTGTTCTTATTTGGATGAGTGATAAGTGCATTAGTGAATGCCATTTGGATATGTAGTTTCACTGCACTGATTGCATTTGAAGGCATTTTCGTATTAAAAGTTTTTTTAAAGGGTAAATTTTCACTACTAATTAAATTTCATTAAAGTATGTTTTTTGAAAAAATAAAAGTAAAAAGTTATTAAATGTTAAAAATACAAAGCTAAAGTTGTATTTAATTTTAGAAAATTTTAGCAAAGTAATCTATTATATGTATTAATTTTACTTTCAAGAACGGAAAATAGCCTACATTATAAGTTTTGTCAAGCATGGTTACAAAATATAGTCAAAAAACTTAGAGATGTGGCTAAAATAGGCAATCATGCTATTAGTCATTTGCTTAATTATTTAGATCAAATTAATTTTATTTTTATTTCGCAATATAAAAACTCACTAAAATACGCACTAAGAATAACAAATGTGTGGGTTTTCCCGATAAATGTGATTAAGATGCAATTCTTAGATCATAATATTTTGATTAAAAAATGTTTTCATAACTTTACATTCTGATAAAATGCTAATAATAGTTCATAAATTGCTACTTTAAATATATTTGTAATTTATAATAATAGAACTTAAAAATTTTGCTAAAATAAAACCAGAAGCAAATTATTTTTTGCGCATGTAAATTTATTCGATTTTCGTAAAATAATAGAAAATAACTATAATTGTTTTTAAGAATCCGAACTATCAAAATAGTTTCTTACTTTTAGTGTTATGTGACTTTAGCTCATTCTTATATAATATATTGAAGCTACCAATTTGTCATTGGTGTTTAGGGATCTAGAACATAGAATGCTATTATTTCAGGCCTACAAACAATGGGCAGCGAAAGAAAAATGTGAAGATGATAACACAGAGGAAAAGCAGATTTGGATTGAAGAACTTCTTCTCCATTCCAGGAATCTTCTGTATAATCTTATTGAGACTAGGAGGGGAGACCAAGTGAGCCGCCTCATATTATTTAATTTTTTCATTAATACATTTTTCTTTTTTCATCATCATCATGTCCCTTAGTCCTTGGACCGTTGCGGTGCCACAGATGACATGTGAACTATCCTCCTCCATTCGTCTCTGTCTTCTGCATTACGTACAGCATCACCCAATGTTAGAACTGTCCACTCTTTGATGTTGTCTTCCCATCTTTTTCTTTGTCTTCCTCTTCTTCTCCCTCCTCTTGTGGTGCCCTGCAATATTTCTTTGGCAAGCCCTCGTTTCCTTGTTACCTGGCCATATCATTTTAGTTTGCATTTTTTCACAGTCACCAGTAGATCATCATACTCACCAATTGCCTGGCGAACCCTTTCTTTCACTGCATCATTGGAGATATGGTCCCTATAGAAGATGCCAAAATGCTTCTGAAGCATCTCATCTCCATCATATTTATTTACCTTTCAAGATTGGCTGTTAATGTCCAGGATTTGCAGGCATACAGGAAAATGGAGAGGATCAGCCTAATTTTGGTGCCGGGGGCTATATTTTTGTCATTCCATATTTTCTTGAGCCTCTTTAGTACTGTTGTAGTCTGCGCAATCCTGGACATCAGTTCGGGCTTGGAGCCGTCTTCTGAGACTATTGCCCTAGGTATTTGAAGCCACCTACAGTCTCTAGTCTTTCCTCCCTGACCTTAATTTCAGTGGTGATGCCTGTGGTGTTATTTAATATCAGTTTTGTCTTTTCGGCACTGATTAGCATGCTGTATGACGACGAGGTCTTGTCAAGATGCATTACCAGGTTGTCTAGCTCTTCTTCGTTCCCAGCCAATCCGTCTATGTCGTCCGCAAAGCGTAGGTTGGTGATTGTTCTGCCACCATTGCTGACTGTCCCTTCATGCACTTCCAGAGCATCTTACATAATTCTCTCTAGGAAGATCTTGAACAAGGTGGGGCAGAGCAGGCAGCCTTGTCATACTCCAACCATGGTCTTGAACCATTCTGCGATGTTGCTGTTGAGGAAGACTGCACTGGTGGCCTTATCATAGAGGCTGCATATCATTCTGGTTAGGTTTGTGTTGATGTTGTAGTGCCTCATGGTGGCCCATAAAGCAGCATGCCAAACCCTGTCAAATGCTTTCATGAAGTACACAAAGACGTGGTATAGGTGTATTTGGTGTTGAGCATATTTCTCACATAGTATTCGGAGGTTTAGAATCTGCTCAGTAGTGCTCCGTCCTTGTCTGAAGCCCGCCTGTTCTTCAGCAATGATTCTGTCGGCATATGGTTTTAGTCAGTTCAATATGACCTACAGCATGACCTTGCTTGGATGGCTTATTAGGTTAATGGTGCGATAGTTTTGGCATAGCTGTAGGTTACCTTTTTTGGGGAGGGTGATGATGAGCGATTGGGTCCATGGTTTGTGCCATTCCCCTATCAGCCATATTTTGTTACAAATATTGTGTTACTTCTTTTTAAATAAGTTTGGGATAATTTCATCATGGCATAATTCAGATTACATTCAATTCTTTTAATAGTTAAATTTTTACAATGATCATATGCCAAATAAAACTTTTCAAAAGTTTTATTTATTTTTGTTGCAATAGAGATGGAAAGCTGTGTCAAAGTATGATACACAGCAAACTTAACAAGCAACAATGCTAATTCAAACTATAATATACATATAATAACATTTAGTGGATGCCTTTGGGTTCTTATTTTATTTTTTAAAAGGTGTGGGTTTTTTTAAATTAGCAATGTGAATCACAATAATTATTAAAATGGTAACTTAATCAATATTAGTTAAGATTAAATCCCTTTTTAGATGTTTCAATGATATAAATAATATATCATAATGTGTAAATATTATTAACTATAAAACTGATGATATTTTATTTGCTCTAGTAATGAGTAAGTTTTACATTCTAAATGAAGAAAAGAATTGAAATAAAACTAATGTTAGTTTGATAATTTATAGACAATGTTTAGAATTAATTATTATTATTTTAAATTAAGAGCCTAATGGAGAGTGTTGAAAAAGAATTGGATGAGGTTGACCTGATCATCCATAAGCAGAAATTCTGTAAGTATATTTATATACATATCCCATGTTTTTTAACAACTTAATATTTTGTTTTAAGAAATTTTAAGTGTTTACTAGCCTTATCTGAATAATTTCATTTATTAGTTGACATGTATTTTTCATTCTTAACTTAACATGGCTCAATGGAGCAAACAAATGTATTATTAATAATTTATAACACATACCAGTATTCTTATTATCTCAGCAAACTATATTAAAATTAAAAAATTTACACGCTGGTTTAAATTTATTTCAATGTAATTATTTCAGCTGAAATTCAAGACTCATTGTGTGACAGTGGCTATATCCAAACTCCATCAAAATCAGAATTTGATATCAAGTCTCCTTCAAGTGCAAGAAGAAAGATCTTTAATAGTCCAAACTCAATTCAGGTAGGCTAGCTGGAGTTGTGTAACAACTATTTACTTTGAATGAATAATATACCTGGTATTAATGAACACACAAAATTGGTCACATGAAAAATGGGTCTCATTTTAGAATATTTAAACTGATAGCAAATTTCATTTTTTAAACATTCTTTTATTATATTTGGTCCTATTTGTCACATAAATCTCTTTATACATTTAAATTTATATTTTCAACTCATTTTACTTAGAACGACTCAATGGCTGATAGTAGATATAGGAGTCAAGTAGTTCAGGTGAGCAGATCTCCTACATCTGCAAATGTTCAACATCACATAAGAAATCTACAAATGAGCCAGCAGCAACTGGAACGCTCAGTTGTCAGAAACAATGCACAGCAACAGAATACAGAAGACCTGATTAAAACTATATCAGAAAGAAATGACCAGATTATTGCCGTTAACAATCAGATGATTAAGGAAGTGTGTGATAGCGCGAGTGCAATTAAGGAAACTGTAGAACAGAATTCAGAGCTGATAAAAAATCTACAGGTATGAAACATTCATTGATAAAGCAGAAATCTTTATTGAATCATTTATAAAATCCTAATAATGTGTAAGTAGTGGGAATGTAATGCTTTATTTATTACTCATATTGTTTTTACCATAAAAATTAGTATCAGTTTAGATTAACTTTATTATTTGTTAAACTCATTCATTCTCCAGAGTTTTGTGGGAGAGAGCAAAAATATAGTCGTAGAGATACAGGTATGTGCTAGTACATTTCTCAACAGTCTTTGATTGAAAACAAATTTATCAAAATGTATTTGTTGGAATTTAAATATTTTGATATCAATTAAGTCCTATTTAATTTATTCCCCACCCCCTTCATTTTTATTTTACCCCCATTAATTTTTGTTTGCAAAAATATCACAATTAAATGTAAAGCCATAACACCTTAGAAAAGGCCTATTTAAGAATTTAAAAAAAAAAAATTGCATGTAATTCAACAAAATTTTTTGATATATGTTCACTGGCTTATTTTAAAATGAGTTTTTTTACTGATTGCTTGTGAATTTATGGATTTAAGAAACAACAATGAAACATTAGATATATATATATATATATATATGATACATCAGTATTTTAGTTAGAAGCATTGCAAAGCATTCTCGAAAGCATTAAACTTTTGTTAAGTCTATTTCATAGGGTTAAGTGTGGTCAACTCACAGCACATAGCTAAATATATTATTAATGCTATTGGTGAATTGCTGATACTTCACTCTAATTAATTTTTTAAAATTATAAAATCATACATTTTTTCATCCTCTTTCGGAATTCCATCACCCTCTAAAACAGTGGTTCTCAACTTTTCTAATGCCATGACCCTTTAATACAGTTTCTTATGTTGTGGCGACCCCCAGCCACAAAATTATTTTCATTGCTGCTTCATAACTGTAGGGTATATGTGTTTTCCAATGGTCTGAGGCAACCCCTGGGACCCATAAAGGGTCACGACCCACAGGTTGAGAACCGCTGCTCTAAAAATCTCCCAAACATTTCAGCCTACTTTGCAATCCTGAAGCCATGCTGGAGAAGGGGGGGAGGGGGGGGGGTGGTAGCACCTACTTTGAGAACAATTGATTAAAAAAACTGGAAGTTTTATTTGAGAGATGAAAACAAACCTTGCTTCTAACTATTAGATAACAAATATTATTCAGATTTCTTTTGACTGAGCATATTTTTTTAATGCGTTTAACACGGCATGATTTTCAGAAAGAAATTAAGGACTTGAAACAACAATCACCAGTTGTTCAAACTCCAAGTGATCACAGCCTCATTCCAAGTACTGTGGTTACACAGTTTCCTGGAGGACATTACCACCAGCAAAGTATACTCACACCAAATTTACAACAGCCAGGTGCACCACCTGGACAATACCAACCAGCAGGTACTCTCGCTGGACAGAACCACCAGCAAAGTATCCTCACACCACATTTACAACAGCAAGGTTTACCAAGACCTTTTTACCAACAGCCAGTTTTTGTTACACCAGGTTCATTTGCGCCAGGTTCATTTGCAGCACATCCAGAAGAAGGAAATTTCTTTTCAATGGAGGGACAACAATTTCCAGCCAATTTTTCACAGCTCCAACAATTGAACAATCCACAGCAGGTTGGTACTAATAATTAATTGCTTTTGAAACCTAGGATAGATTCACTCATTTAGAAATAACATTTTGTGTCATTATGTCAAGATTTTAACCACCTTTTATAGGATTACTCCTCCTATATATATAAACTACTGATGATCTCAAATAATGATGTTTGTTGCTGATGTAGAATGCTACAGGATTCTTATCTCTTACCAGACATTTTTCAAAACTCAAACCAGTGGGTAAAAAGAAAAAAAATGCTGTTATATGAATTGACCTTGTTTTAACTTCCAAAACTTGGTTAAACATATTTTTCTTAATTAATTTGTGTAGGTTTTTTTTTAAGCTAGGAATAAAAATAAAGCTACCATATTTTACAGACTATAATACACATCAAAACAAAACAAAAATGTATTTTAATTTTGAGTGTAAGACGCATCTGAATTTCGGAGGCAATTTTTTGCAGACAAAAATGCATCCAAAAGTCCTTAAAATATGGTATATAAAATAATGAGCTCGATTATAATGGCTCACTTTGCTAGTTATTTAATGTTATTCTCATTAATGGACTCACAGGCGCCATAAGTTAAAAATGTTTGTCAAATAAATTTTGATCCATTTCATTTGGGGATTAAAAAAACAAAAAGGAAGGCTATAATTATTGATACTAATCAACACAATAGATTCCAATCTTTCTTATATACCCTGCCCCCAAGCAAAATATTATCATTTTGTTTACCCTCTGAAACAGGCAAATAAGATATTGCATAATGCCGGTGCTATTAAGTGTTATGCTTGTAAAACCCAACAGCCCTATTTTTAGCACATACACTTTTTTTCCTATTGTTTTTAACATTGCTATGATCTTTTTACAGCATCTCAACAAGAAATCTGGTAAATGTGAGAGGAAGAATCAAGACAGAGTTCCTGTTTCTTCCTTGTCTGGCAACAATAAACCAATGCATGGAGCACAAGGTCTAGAACCACCGGCCATGGAAATCTCTGCGGCATTGTTAGACAATGTGTTAGATAAAGTAAAACAGGAAGTGAAATCAGTGGAGAAAAAACAACAGGAACAAACAGAAAGGGGATATGTCCTTCAAGCACAAATGGAAGAATTCTTTAAGGCCAATAGAGAAATGCAAGAGAAATTAAAGGAGCAAACAGAGAAGAACAGAATGGAACAAGTTGAAAAGGAACAGAGAGAACACATGGAACAGTTGATAAAAGAAAGGGAACATGTCCAGAAACTGGAAAGGAAACAAACAAGAATAGAAGAAGAAATAGTCAGAAAACAAATGGAGGATAATAGGAAGTTGGAACAGATGCAAAAAGAGATCATGCAACTAAAACAAAAGGAGGAAATCCGACAAAGGGCACTTATAGAACAGGAACAAAGGCTGAATAAACAAAGGGAAGAAATCCAACAGAGGGAAGAAACTCAAAAAAGAGAAAAAGAACAAATGAAACTACTGGAAACAATGTTGAGAGAACAAGAGGAGCAGAAAGAAAAATTTGAACAAATCCAAAAACAGCTGGAAGAATGTAAAGTTAAAGAGGAATCCAAACAGAGAGCGCTGATTGAACAGGAACAAATGGAGCTTAGTCAAAGGGAAGAAATGCAACAAAGGGAAGATGCCCAACAAAGGGAACAAATGCAGAGATCAACTGGACAACAACCTTATTATACTACACCCATGGGCAGGCCAATTATTAAAGCATCTAAATTCAAAACTTCCCCACAAGGATCCTCTGCTGACGGCACCCTCTGCAGTCAGACTCCAGCATTCAGCAGTACTTCAAGTTTTGAAACATCAATGAAACATGATCATGACCAAGAAGTAACCAACAGACATGACTCATCTCAAACGTATCTGAAATCTCAACAATCTTATCTACCAGCCTTCAAACCAGCTTTGCAAGACAAGACTCATATACATAAACCAAAAGTCACAATGGAATCTGCTAGATCTGATATGATCCTTTGTGACTCTACAGTCAACAAATCTGATCCTAAGTCTACAGAGTCTGTGAGTTATGTTGGTTAATATTTATCCTTATTTTGGTTAGTTTATAATCATTATATTTGTTATGTAATCCTTATGTTGGTTAATATATTATCTCTATGTTAGTTAAAGTTTTTAATTTTTTGTAAATATTATCTTCTTCTATTCTATGAATTAGAAATGTTTGGTTATATTCTATTTAGACAAATGAAATGCACAGCAAATTAAAGCAAAGAAACAGGTTACAGTTGCATTTGATTTCCCGTTTAGTGCAAGTGACAACAATTGCCAATTTTTTTAGGAACATAACTTAATTAAATAGATCTAGCACACTTAAAAAAAAAAAATTAATATGATTTCCATTTTTTTTTTTTTAATGATCATAACTTAAAATTTCAAAGGAACCTACAGCCGCTCAGGGTGAATTTTCGCTGAACTTGAACTGCTCAGAGAAAATGGCCGGTAACCAATATAATTTTTATACAATCTGTAGATCAACAATATGTATACCAACTATAGCAGTGGTGGGCAAATCATAGCTCGTGAGCCGATTGTGGCCAGTGTTCCTTTAAAAAAAAATTAAATAATCATGAAAATGGAAATGGAAAAAAATGTATGTGTAATTTTAATTTTCATTTGGCATTACTCTATGGGGTTGTTTCACTTTACTGGTCAAATCCCAATTTTCTGAGGATGGACATGATTCATTGGGAAAAACGCAACTCCTCCACTTTCGCCATTTATGGCTTCCATGCCTCGGTTACCTCTTGAAATCTTGTTCACAGCTACAAAAGTTTGCCCGCCCCTGAACTATAGGAACATCACATTTTTAAAGTTAAAAAAAAAACAAATCGAGTATTTTTTAATTTTTTTATTTTTTTTAGAAAAAAAGATGTCGGTACTGTCAGAAATCAAGGGTTTGAAGGCTCTCAAATCGAACTTGGTTTGGGGTGGGGCCTCAGTGATTTATTCAAAAACATTTCACCCCCTTTCCCACAAATACCTTTTTTTTTTTTTTTTTTTTTTTAAATAACAAATTTTTTTTTTTTAACTCGTACCAATTGATAACAATGGATTTGTTTTTTAAAATTGAAAAACTTGTTCACAACATGGGAAACCTGCTTCCCACTGCACATAGATAACAAATGAAATAGCCTAAAGATCTTTAAATACTCAGCAGCTTGATTCACTCAGAAGCATGAAGCCCTGGGCAACTGCCCAGTCTGCCCATGCCTTAAGATGCCACTGGGGATTAATTTCATGATTTTCGTCAGGGGTTCAGGTTCTGTGTATACGGTGTTTCTGTGGAGCGGGAGTTTTTCAAAGATAATTGTAGCAGAATAGTAACGAATTCAAACTGTTCATCTTTGCACTATGGAACAAGTCAGATTTTGAGAAAAATATCAGCACATAATTTAGATGAGTTTGAGCTTAATACAAATATTGCACTTTTTGCAGGAAGATTCATTGTGGAGGAGGAAGAACAAGAGTTTCTTTTGGATGAAAATTCCTCAAGTGATGATGATACTGATGGATCTTCAAGTGATTTCTCCAGTGAAGATTCCAGTATGAGTAATGGTCCTCCATATGAAGGGATGGTGTGCGTTAGCAAAGCAATAACATTTTCATCACAAAGGGACACAGGGATCTTCAACAATCTTGAGCAAACTGAGGTCAAACGATCACATTGTTGGAATGGTGTTGGAAGTAAACGGAACCTACAACCTTACATTGGTAAGTTGTCAGATAAGATATCAAGAGTATACTCATTTGTGGTAGGCCTATTTGTGTATAATATCAGCTGATCAACGCAAGATTATTTTTGAAACATTTTAACTTCAATAAAAACTATTGAATTGAACAGGTAATACACAGTTAATATCACTAAAGTGCCACATTCTTCAATCTGACACTGCAACTGGAAGATGGCAAAGAAAAGTAAGGGGCAACATTAAGATTGAACAAAACAAATTAGAGCAGCAGTTCAGACTGGTCATTACTCACAAGGTATTCAGTGATTTTGTGTTGTAATATTTTAAACGATAAAGCTACAAAATGATTGAACTTGTGTGCCTAGAAATAATGCTCTGCACAGTTGATTTAAAAAAATGATAAAAACTTTCCTTTATAAAAGTATGGAAGAAAAGTAAAAGTAACCCCTAAGTTTATTATAAGTAAAGATGTCAATTCATTAAAAAAATATTTTAATGTCCAGAAAATGCCAATGTTTTTAATTGAAAATGTTTGCTTAATTTCTGTACATGAATTATATAAAGCACTTAATATGGTTTTTTTCAAAACTGCTTATACAGACCAGGGAAATGTTTGCAGACCATGTCATCACATCCAATATGAAACTGTCGCCTTTGTCAAATTCTGATCGCACTCTAATGTGTACCTGGGATGTTGCTAACTCTAGATTAATTAAAAAAAGAGGGAAGAGTTCTGGACTTATTGTGAACCCAGAGCCATTTATCATCAAAGTTGTGGACACGACAAAAGCAAAACAACTTCTGAAGGTGTTTGAAGATTGTCCGCAGCAAGTAAGTCCTGTGACAATTGATGATTCCAGTGAAGACTCGAGTGATGTCACCAGTGAAGATCTCAGTTGGGAGGAAACATCAAGAAAGGTCTTTACATCAAAGGCTACAAAGGGTAGGACATGTAGTGATTTAAACTTTAGAATCATAATAAGTTTTATATCACTTTAATTAGACAAGAATAAAGTTCTGATGGAGAAACCAATGCCCAGAATAAGCTTATTAAAATCTATAAGCATTTTCATACATTCTGCATTTTTATCATATAATTTAGAAGGGAAAGATTTCTTCAAAAGCATTTGTTAGCCTCAATCCCTTCTGTTTTAGCATATTGACATCAAACTTAAAAATTATAGGCAAAACATATTGTTGGTCTTTTTTAAATTCATAAATTGTTAACGGTTTTTAAGTACAAATTGGAATATAAGTATTATGAAGCGACAGTAAAATGCTCTTTCTGTTGATGACATTAAGTAATTTGGACATTTCTTAGTTTGATACAGAAACTTCTTTTGTATTGCAAGAATCAAACAGCATTTTAATATGTGGTGCTGGCTGACACCAGCTTGATAAAATGTTTCACTGGATCTTCTAATATTACATTTCTATCACATTTATTCATTAAAATAATTTGCAGGTAACATAATATCTAATTGATTTATAAAGCAACAGGCCTGCAGACTATAAGTGTAAAATATAAAATTTAACCAGAAAAATTGGCTTAGACATGGCTAGTTTTTGCTTATTATTGTAGTGAAAATGATAAATAGTCATGCGCCCATTAATTGTATTGTACTGGAATATGTGTTTCTCTCAATCTGTTCAGAATAATAAAACAGGGAATTGCAAATTAATTAGTTTTATTCCAATTATAAATGATAATTTGTATTTATATATTGTCCATGAAAATAATCAGTCACTCACAATTCTTTTTATGATGGAGTTTCGATTTATTACAATTTTGATAATTTTGTTAAGCTTTCTGAATTTACAAAAAAAAGTGTTGCCTTCAACAGGATTAACTTTACATGTGATAAGCTGTCATGATCAGGCTGAGGTTGTCATAAAGTATTTATATTTATAAAATGTTTCAGATGGCAGAATAGGTCAAGATAAGCACACACCAGACAGGGGCCAAGGCAAGTGGTAACAGCAACATATTTTTTTAAGCTTGGAATGTACGATTTTCACCAGAGCAAAGTGGATGAGAATAGATTGATACAAGTTTTTGAAGATGAGAGTGATGAGAATAGATTGATGCAAGTTATGGTACAGGAGAGTCATGAAAATAGATTGATACAAGTTATGGTACATTATCATTATATTGTGCTTTTAACCAAGTACTCTATCCCTTGTGATTTTTAGTTTTTCAAAATTTTTAACACTTTATTTTAACAATAACTTCGTGAAAATTTTCTCTTCGGATTAAATTCTTATTAGTTCCTGGTAATGTTACCATTCTGAGCTTTCTCTCCTGTCAGGCTACTTTCAAAGCTACGTCTTTTTCTAATCCTTTGGCTTTTGTTGTATGTCAATGAAACATTCAACTGAATGGTTCTATTGTAGTTTTTTTTTTTTTATTTCTTATTCTTAACATTCCCTTGAATTTGAAAAGTGCAATGATAATGTACAATTGTTTGGCATCATGTGTCTGGTATTTACACAACCTAATCAGAATGTTAATATTTTTTTTAAAATACTAACTGAATTTAGATTTTTATATAAGTTTAATTTGTATCATTGCGCAGTGAACTAAAATATGATTTGATGGTTTATTTAACATTATATTACACAACCTAATTTTTATTTCTTGAAATACATAGGTGAAGAATGAGAACAATGTTTAAGAGTAATTAGGTTAGTAAATGCTTTCACTAGGAATAACTCAATTCTGTAGCTGTATACATTTTCCAAAGAATAAAAAAAATTAAAATAATAAAATACAACACATGTGGAATAAAAAAAATCCTTTATTTATTTCAGATTCACGTTTGAAATTTGATTTACATACAAGTAAAAGAGACAAAACTTATGTAGCAGATGAAAACACCGGTGGCCAAAAATATGAGTTAAGAAACAAAGGCAACACAATGCAACAAACGACCGCTGGTAAACATAGTATATCTAATGATGAAGAGCACGACAATGAAACAACAGACAATGAAGATGATGTAGAACAAGACAATGTAACAACAAACAATGAAGATGAGGATGAACAAGAGAATGAAACAACAAATGATGAAGATTATGAAGAACAAGACAATGAAACAAACAATGAAGATGATGAAGAGCAAGACAATGACACAACAAACAATGAAGATGATGATGAACAAGACAATGAAACAACAAACAATGAAGATGATGAAGAACAAGACAATGAAACAACAAACAATGAAGATGATGAAGAACAAGAGAATGAAACAACAAACAATGAAGATGATGAAGAACAAGAGAATGAAACAATAAACAATGAAGATGATGAAGAACAAGACAATGAAACAAACAATGAAGATGATGATGAACAAGACAATGAAACAAACAATGAAGATGATGAAGAACAAGACAATGAAACAAACAATGAAGAGGATGAAGAACAAGACAATTTAACAACAAACAATGAAGATGATGAAGAACAAGAGAATGAAACAACAAACAATGAAGATGATGAAGAACAAGAGAATGAAACAACAAACAATGAAGATGATGATGAACAAGACAATGAAACAAACAATGAAGATGATGATGAACAAGACAATGAAACAAACAATGAAGATGATGAAGAACAAGAGAATGAAACAAACAATGAAGAGGATGAAGAACAAGACGATTTAACAACAAACAATGAAGATCATGAAGAACAAGAGAATGAAACAACAAACAATGAAGATGATGAAGAACAAGACAATGACAAAACAAGCAATGAAGATGATGAAGAACAAGAGAATGACAAAACAAGCAATGAAGGTGATGAAGAACAAGAGAATGAAACAAAAACAATGAAGAACAAGAGAATGAAACAACAAACATGAAGATGATGATGAACGAGACAATGAAACAAACAATGAAGATGATGAAGAACAAGACAATGTAACAACAGACAAAGAAGATGATGAAGAACAAGACATTGTAACAAAAAACAATGAAGATGATGATGAACAAGAGAATGAAACAATAGACAATGAAGATGATGAAGAACAAGACAATGATAGAACAGACAAAGAAGATGATGAGGAACAAGATGATGAAAAACCATGCAAAGAAGATAATGATGAAGAATACAATAAAAAAGAAGACACAAAGTATCATGAGGAAACAGACAATGAAAAAGGAACAGAAAACAAAGATGATCCTAAAGAACAAAACAATAAAACGGAATTCAATGATATTAATAAGAACCAGGACATTGAAACATTATCAGAAAAAAATGAAGATCAAAAGAAGCATGACAATAAAGTAGTATCACAACAAAATGAAGGTCTTAAGAAACAGAAAAAAGAAAAATTATCAGAAAACAATGAAGATCCTAAGACACAAGACATTGAAACAGCATTAGAAAAGACTGAAGATGCTAAGAAGGATGAAATCAAAACTGTATCAGAAAAAGATGAAGATGATAAGAAACAACAGATAAAATTATCAGAAGGCAATGAAAGTCAAAAGAAACCTGACAATGAAACAACAAAATGAAAATCTTAAGAAACAGGAAACTGAAACAGTATCAGGAAACAATGAAGATCCGAACACACAAGAAATTGAAACAGCATCAGAAAAGTCTGAAAAAAAAATTAAAAACAGGACATTAAAAGATCAGAAGACAATGAAAATCAAAAGACACAGAAAAGTGAAACAGTATCAGAAAGCAATGAAGATTGTAAGAAACAGGACATCAAAAGAGAAACAGAAAAAAAACAATATCATGGGTGATGAGAGGAAAAGAAGAAGAAAGCAGAGAGCAGATTTTAAGGAAAAACATTGTGACACAAAAAAATTTAATTAAAAAATTTCAAAAGAAACAAGATAAAACATGAGAAACAGAAAACAAAGACCATGCTAAAAAAACAAAACATTGAACCTGAAAACAAAGAAAGTTATAAGAAAAAAGACACTGAACACCGGGGGGGGGGGGGGGGAAAAAAAAAAAANCCGAGCAAGAGGAGTAGTGGTCTGGTATACATTATGAATAGAACCGGACCCAAAACGGACCCCTGTGGCACTCCGTACACCAAATCAGCACTGCCGGAGAGACAGCCATCGACAGAGACCATTTGCGTTCTATCAGAGAGGTAGGACCTATAGATGAGAACTTGAACAAAGGTCTCAGAGACAATACTGGACAAGGAGCTTATGTGGGGCATCCAGGTGATAATGGACAAAATGCTAATGTGGGGCAACGGGGTGATAATGGACAAAGTGCTAATACAAGGCAACCAGGTGATTATGAGCAACGTGCTAATGTGGGGCAACCAGGTGATAATGGACAAAGTGCTAATACAAGGCAACCAGGTGATAATGGATAAAGTGCTGATGTGGGGCAACCAGGTGATAATGGACAAAGTGCTAATACAAGGCAACCAGGTGATAATGGGCAAATTAGAAGAAAATAAATAACAAGAAATAAATAACGGATACCGGATGTGGACAGGAGAATCACATGATACTAGGGAACATATACAGAATACAATTTGTATTCTGTATTTTGTATTACAAATGAAATCAATGGTAATGGAGCAACTAGTGGAGAACACAGGACAAAAGACAAATGGGAGCAAAGGGGAACAAAGGTAATACATGATAGAAACACTCAGTGATGCGCTTAGGAATAATAAAATGTTTTGAAAATTCTAACCGGCTTAAGATTATTAAATAACCCTGAAATTTGATTTAATTCTTCAACAAAGTGAAAGTTTTTTATGCAAATGTCCACGTTCCCTAATGTGATATTGATGTTTTATAAAGAAACTCTTTTTAAAGGACTTTCCTTTTTAATAGATTATCAATTTTTATTGTAAAAATCTGTTATTGTTTAAGTCAACGAAATGCAACTGAATATTTTCTAACCTGTAACACATTCACTCTGTGTAGGCATGCATTCAAATGAAATTGTAGACTAACATGCTTTCTTGTTCTCTGTATTAGCTAATTCTAAATAGCTTAATCCTCTTTTTTTTCTAATGTAAATGTTTGTGCAAGTTCATTCATATGAAAATAAATAAAATATCACTCCCTTATTTGTATTTTTTTAAAATGTTTATTATATGTTTTTGTTAATAATAATAATAATAATAATAAGTGGTCTTATATAGCGCGGTACCCCGGCCTAGGGCTGGGCTCACCGCGCTGTACATATATAGCAAAGAGGCATAGTCATAATATTAAAATAAAATACATAAATGAAATAAAAACAACATATAAGCAAAACAACACCATAGGTCTATTCATCCACCCACACCAGACATTTTTACAAGGAAACCCATGTACGTTTATCGGTTTATAGGAGGAGAATCAGTCAGAGTAGTATAGTTTAAATAGATGTGTTTTGAGTGCAGTTTTGAAGGCCTGTGTGGTTGTTATATTGCGGATGTGTAGTGGCAAAGAATTCCATTGTTTGGGGGCGCAGAAAGAGAAAGATCGTTCACCATATAATTTAGTGCGTGTCTTGGGAACGGACAGAATACGCGAGTCTGCGGAGGAGCGAAGTTGTCGAAGGGGTGAATAGACAGAAAGAAGTTCAGTTAGATAGGAAGGGCAGGAATCCGAGAAAAAGTTGTGACAGAGAAGAGACAGCTTGTAGTCAATGCGTGCCTGTATAGGGAGCCAATGTAGTGAGTGGAGTAGTGGAGTGACGTGATCGCGTTTTTTTGCCTTAAGAACAAGCCTAGCAGCAGAGTTTTGAACTTTCTGCAGTTTTTCTATAAAATGTTTCGGTGAACCTGACAGAAGTGAGTTGCAATAGTCAAGACGAGAGAGAACAAGAGCACAGACTAGAGTTTTTGTTGCGCTAACTGTCAGGTAGTGGCGGATGGAGCTGATCTGACGGATGGCGGTGTATGCTGAACGACAAATGTGAGAGATATGTTTATCGAGAGACATGTTGTTAGAAAGAATATAACCAAGATTCCTAGCAGAGGGTGTAAACTGTATGTCGGAGTTACCTACTTGAAATGAGGTGGGAAGAATTGAGGTAGAGGATGATTTGTGATTGTAAATGAGGAGTGCTTCTGTTTTGTCATCATTAAGCTTCAACTTGCTGAGTGTCATCCAAGACTTGACATCATCAATGCACCCCCGCAAAGTCTGGACAGCGGAATCGACAAGAGATGGATGGGTATGCATGTATAGCTGCGTATCATCTGCAAATGACTGGTTCTCAACAGCATGCCTCCCGAGCAAGAGGAGTAGTGGTCTGGTATACATTATGAATAGAACCGGACCCAAAACGGACCCCTGTGGCACTCCGTACACCAAATCAGCACTGCCGGAGAGACAGCCATCGACAGAGACCATTTGCGTTCTATCAGAGAGGTAGGACCTATAGATGAGAACTTGAACAAAGGTCTCAGAGACAATACTGGACAAGGAGCTTATGTGGGGCATCCAGGTGATAATGGACAAAATGCTAATGTGGGGCAACGGGGTGATAATGGACAAAGTGCTAATACAAGGCAACCAGGTGATTATGAGCAACGTGCTAATGTTTCTCGTTTGTTGAAAGAAAAAAGATATAATTGTTAACTTTAAACTTGAACACCTGTTTTTCAATTTTGTTGTTTTTTAAGTTTAAGCGGTTGGCAACTTTATTTCTTTGAGAATTTTTTTTCTGTGGAAAACAGAACAAAACTTTGGAATTTACAATGTAAATTTCTGCAGCTACACTATTTGACTAAAAATCACTGGTTTAATTACATTTCCTGCTCCGATTGAATGCTTTTTTTTTGTGATTACACTAATTGACATTTTTCTCAACAAAAGACACAAGACATTGAAACAGAATCCAGAGCCGTTCTTAGGAGTTTTGGGGGCCCTAAGCATGGAGCGTAGGTTGGGGGCCCCGGAAGGGGTGGTCCGGGGGCTGAGCTCCCTCGAGCTGAGGAGAAAACACCACTGCGGCACCTCCATTCTGCCTTCATCAATGTTTCCTCTTTCCGATTCCTACGGCCAAGCCCCCGATTTCCTGTCTGCCACCCCTAAAGCTCCCCCTGCTGCTTCCCTTCCCCTGCCTCCGAATTCAACTCAGAATGTTACATTTCAGGATGAGGAAGGTAACGTGAGTGACACAGACGGCTGCAGTGCCAGTTTTAAAAAAAAACAGGGGATCGAGGGTGCCTCACGGGGGCCCCCTCACGTTCGGGGCCCTACGCGGATGCGTAGTCAGCGTATGCCTAAGAACGGGCCTGCAGAATCAGAAAACACTAAAGATCTTAGAAAGAGGACATTGAAATTGTATCAGAACAAGATGAAGATCATTAGAAACAGGAAATTGAAACAGTATCAGAAAACTATACCATTTCCCAAAATGTAAGGTACTCATGGACTCGGGCACACCCTTCAGTAGTAAATATTCTGATTCCATAGCAAAGCTTCAGGAAGAATTTGACCACATGTTTTATGACTTCACCACAGACACAGCCATTTTAAAAATGTTTGCTCACCCGTTCTTCTTCAATGTGGAAGATGCCAACCCACACCACCCTTTGCGGTTCAAATGGAGCTGGTTGATCTTCAGTGCAAGTCTAAGTTCAGGGAGGTGACTGGAAAAACAGACGAACTTGGACAATTTATAACAGCATTGCCCTCCACATTTCCTGAGATTTCCAGGTTGTTTAAGCGGATCATGTGCCTTTTTGGGGATACTTATCTGTGTGAAAATCTCTTTTCCACAATAAACTTAAACAAGTCAAAGTTCAGGGCGAAACCTACTGATGAGCATCTTCAAGCTATACTGAGGGTCTCAGTTGCTTTCTCACTCAAGCCAAATGTTGCTCAGCTGTGTGAGAAGAAGCGCTGCCAGGTCTCTGGCAAGAAGTAGAAAGAAGAAAGTGAAGCCCAGTACTTGAGAACACTTACTATTTTAATTTGCTATTAATAAAAGACTGTTGCACTCTAATGTAATGAAATGTTTTGAGAAAATAATTTTGAAAGAAATTTTGAATTAAGTACAGCAAAAACTTGCCAGAAGTACGGAGGATGCAATTTTACTATTGTTGGAGAGACTTTACCATCACCTAGACAGTCCTAAAACATATGTCAGAGTGCTTTTCTTAGACTTCTCATCAGTATTTAACAATATCAAACCACACCTTATGATAAAGAAACTTTCCTCGTTAGGTGTCAATTGAAATATTCAGGCTTGGATACTGAACTTTTTAACAAATCGTCCACAATATGTCAAACTAAAGAACTAAGTATCTCTAACTAGATTATTTGAGTTTGAAATCCCTGGTCTAAAGCGTTTTTGCGCAAGACTTACTGTCTAAAGCCCTTTTGAGCAAACACAAATGTCTAAAGCCCTATGGAACATCGTAAAGAGATAGGTTGGAGACGAAATTTTGAAATGTATGCGTTTATCTGTGTAGCTTACGTACATTTGTATTAGAATTAAGAACATGATTTCCTTTTTCTTAAATTTGATTGAATTGTTGATGGATTTTTTTTAAAATTTAGGCTTTCTATTTATTTATTATTTATTTTTTTTTTTTTTTTGTAAAATGAAGTTAAATTTTCGAAATTGGAAGTTGGTTAAATTTTTATTTTAATTTAATTTGTATTAGAATTAAGAAAATGATTTCGTTTTTTTTAAATTTGATTGAATTGTTGATGGATTTTTTTTAAAATTTAGGCTTTCTATTTATTTATTATTTATTTTTTTTTTTTTTTTGGAAAATGAAGATAAATTTTCGAAATTGTAAGTAGGTTAAAATTTTATTTTAATTTCAAGCTATAAAAAAATAACTTTTGTTTTGTTGTTAGGATTGCACTGAGTAGGCAGTCACACAGTTATGAGCAAATATTGGTTCTGTAAAGAGTTTGCATAAGTCATAATTTAATTTAGCCCCTGTATGCTGCATTACTTAAGATTCTGACGTCAGCACGATCAATTTCGTTTACAACACAAAAGGTGTACGGTAGCAGGCGTTTTTTTCTTTTCTGGCCCAGTAAAGCCCGCCCCGTCGTGGCGCCATCAATATCACAAAATGTCGAACCTCTTCAAAAAAAAAAAAATTGCCGCCCCATGGGTTTAGAGAGTTTAGACCATGTCAAATTTGTGCTGTTGACTTCAATTATTATGGTACAAACCGTTGGTATTTATTTTTTTTAAAATGGCATGTACAATAAGCTGATAACACGATCGTCTTAAATTAAGAGAAGTGACTGCTACCATTAACATACTTAGCACTACATTTCCTGCTACCATTAACATACTTAGCATTACATTTATTCTGGAACAAGCCGGAAACTAAACATTGCTAATAGTAGGGCCTACCAAAAGTCTGCTTGTATTTGAGAGAGAAAGAGATTACCTAACAAGAACGTCAGAAAGTTCTCCGGAAAATATACTGTCCAACATAGAATGAATATGGGTAGATAATACGAACAAATCAGGAATTGTACAGTCTATATCAGGCTACCACGCTAGTGGAAGAAATAAAAAGAGGCAGGCTACGCTGGGCAGGACACTTAGAGGGAATGTGAAATGATAGAGGAATGGAGAGGGTGCACCACCAAAACTACAGAGGAAAACGGCTCACAGGCAGACCTAGGCTTAGATGGATGGATGATATGGGAAAAATCCAAGCATGGAAAAGAAAAGCATTAAATCGGTCTAAGTGGAAGGAAGTGAAGTAGTAGGCCAACGCCCAACGTCAACCGTAACGCCATGGGTAGTGGCGTAGCGAGGGTGTTTGGCGCCCGGGGACAAGATTCGCGCCCGGGAACAAGATCCATTTTAAAGCGCCCCTTTTCTTTTTTTCAACTCTCGAACCCATTATTTTTACCAATAATATAATATCAAATCACTTTTTGGCGCCCCTAACTAGCTTGCGCCCGGGGACATCTGTCCCCCCTGCCCTCCCATCGCTACGCCTCTGGCTACGGGGATGGATGGGTGAATACGGACACTTTTGTCATCAATACACTAAACGGTTAAATCATTTTGAGATTAATTCGCTTGATAGGCATATTCCATCCGATTATTTTGCTGGTTAATTACAACAATTGTTTGCCTGTTTCAAAAGTTGTTTTAAAAATATAGCATTCCACTCAGTGTCAAAGATTTTGAAAATTTCAAAAGTTGTATAAGGCGTATATATTTAAAGACAGTGATAGCACCCTGAACAGTATTAACTTATGAATCCTATTTCGAATTTGAATGGTACTTTTATAAAAAATTAAATGTCTTCAAAGCTAATGTTTAAAGCCCATGTATAGCTAATTGAAAATAATTGTCATTTTTAACAAAAAAGTCTAAACACACCAAATATCGATTTGAACGGAAATAAAATACCCACGACTCTTTAGTGTATTTATCGTCGTATTAAGAATAAATTATTGGGACTTATATTTATTCAAGCCATTAAGTAAGCTAATCATTAACAAATTATATGTAATCGCTACAGTTAATATCCACTTTATATGTATCTAGAAGCTCAACGTTCGTTCTTTGGTGATATGTTAATAGCTAATGGCACACGGTGCAAGTATATTATTTGCACATTGGGCAGACGATCAATGATTTTGGCAAACACGTATTTTGTGACAAGGAGCAACTAACTGTCATCTTGTAAGGGTGGAGCAACTAGCTGTCATCTTGTAAGGGTGGAGCAACTAGCTGTCATCTTGTAAGGGTGCGATTGTTTTATCAAGCTTTAAACACAGGGCGTTTTAAATTAATATTCTTGGAGATTGAAAACAAAGACATTTTTAAGCATCATATTCCAAAGCGTTTTGTATGCGATAACTATGTTAAAATATTTCTGCCACGCAAAACCTCACGTACAATCAATCTATGTGTTTTAAAAAAAATAAGTGCAGTGTCTTTACAGAAATAACAAAATTTACATAGTAACAATTTTTAGGTAAATACAACAATTGAAATTTTTTTTATAAAGCCGTGGTTTCAAGTATTTCTTGAATTAATATTTGTTAAAACTCAATAAATTTAAGAACATAATATTACTAAGAGCTCTGAGAATTCATTGCCATTTAATAAAGCGCTCTAACGACATTTCTGTAAGTTGTCTCCAAACCCGAGATGAATTTATTCAACACTAGCCACGAGCTTCACCTGTCCTCAAGTCTACTCATCATTGATGACTTTACCATAGAGATCGTCACTGTTGTCAACTACTTCATCATACTTGGGAGTATTTCTATACTAGGCATCGTCGCCAACATGCTTAACATGGCGGTGTTCTGGAACCAAGGCTTTCGAGATCGCGTCAACATCAGCCTCTTCGGGCTGGCCGTGTCCGACCTCTTGTCCCTGGCGGCATTCCTGCTCATGTCGCTCTGGAGCAGCCCCTTCCGCGTGCACACTGACATGAGCAGGCTGTCCAGAGAATTTCTGTATCTGTCCAGCGGTGTGCCGCACATCGCGTTTGCCCGGGTGACCGGCTGGCTGACGGCGTTCGTGGCGTTTGAACGATGTCTGTGCATCGCCCTGCCTTTAGAGGTCAGACTTATACTGACCAACAGACGCGTGGCGCTGTTCGTCATCTGCAGCTTCTGCCTAACAATGGCGTTGTTTGCGTCACTCTTCTACACCAATCGTTTCGCTTGGAAATTTTTCCCAGAATTCAACCAAACTCTTCTCGGAATGGTCTACTCAGAGGACCGGTACCCACTGGAGAATATAATGTTCCCTATCGATAATTTAATTCCGGCCTTCTTCTCATTCGTCGTGGTGCTCATCTGCACGATCATCCTCGCGGCAGAGCTATCCAGAAAAACGATACTGAACAACGAAGAAACCAAAGGCTTAAAGGATTCTTCAATTCAAAGAATATCGAGAAAGAAGTTGAAAGTCACGAAAATGGTATCGATCCTGTCCGTGGTCTACGTCGTCACTTACACGCCATCAGTCGCAGCAAATATACTGAGCCTGTGTGAGCCAGAGTTCTCTCTAGTGGGCCGTTATAAAAATATGTGCAGTTTCTTTTACTCTTTTGCTTTCATACTCGAAGCCGTCAACTCGAGCGTCACTGTCTGCGTGTACTACAGAATGAGCGCGAAATTCCGCATGACTTTTCTTATCATGTTTTGTACGGAGTTCAAAGGTTAAGGTCAAGAAAAGTTTGACACTGTTGAAAATAAAACTGGACACAGTCCAAACAGAATCAGACTTTTTGTAATTATAACATGACGAGGTGCAAGGTATTAATAGCATACGGTTTACGTTTAATTCTTTAATCCCTTTATTCATGTCTGATTTTGATTTCTTATTGTTTTTTTCACGTATTTTTTTTTTGGATTTTTTTTTTTGGATATCTAAAAATTCTTATGTCTAAAATTCTCAACTCATGGCTCATAACCGTGAAATTTTCGGCTCTGGCTTGAGATTGGTCTTGACCAAAATAAAAAATTTAATTTTTTAATTCTTTTATTCTTTTTTTATTTTTATTTCTTATTGTTTTTTTTACGTATTTTTTTTTTTGGATTTTTTTTTTTGGATATCTAAAAATTCTTATGTCTAAAATTCTCAACTCATGGCTCATAACCGTGAAATTTTCGGCTCTGGCTTGAGATTGGTCTTGACCAAAATAAAAATATACAAAAAATATTGACATTTTTTTCTTCGGGATTAATTTCTTGTATTTTTATTAATTTTCAAAAAATTTGATTAAATAACCTACAGCGACACATTTTTTTCGGGAGACATTTCGATGGATTAGAAGATTCCATTGGCGTAGCCTGGGTAAGTGCCAAGGTTTTGTATGCGTCCCCTCTGAGAAAAACTTTGCAGTTGGTCCAAAATGTGGCCCTGCTATATAAAGAAGAAAGTGGCGCCTGGGGCGGGCCACCCCCTCCGCCCTTCCTTTCCTACTCCAGTGAGAAGAGATGAAAGTTTCAAATGGCTTTATGTTACAATTGACTTCAGCGACTAGGAGAATTTGTATAAAATTATCGATTACTTTTAATAAACTACAATTATCTATATTTATAATATATAATTCGCCAGAAACTAGGGCAAACAACAAGGCGGCCACCATGCAGGTCCTATAGATACTCGCGGCGTCTGCTAAGCCGCGGGTCGGCTTCATTTATAGAGATCATGGGCGTGAAATAAAAAGTGTGCAGCGACTTATGATTTTTTTTTTTAAAAGGGGGGGGGGGGGGGGTGTAGGGGCAAAATTGGAATTCTCAAATGTGCGTAGCTTGGGTGCACGTTTTTGTCAATTAATTTTAGTAGATGGGAACGGCTTCATTTATAGAGATCATGGGCGTGAAATAAAAAGTGTGCAGCGACTTATGATTTTTTTTTTTAAAAGGGGGGGGGGGGGGGTGTAGGGGCAAAATTGGAATTCTCAAATGTGCGTAGCTTGGGTTCACGTTTTTGTCAATTAATTTTAGTAGATGGGAAGTTCACGCAGTGCTGTCGCCAATGTTTGGCGGGCTACATCTAGTACTTTTAGTAGATGGGAAGTCCACGCAGTGCTGTCGCCAATGTTTGGCGGGCTCCATCTAGTATGTCTATATTTGGTAACAATAGCATTAATATATTTTTTTGTAAAGACATTGCCCAAAAGATTGTCAGTACAGTTGAGACATAACTACTGCAGGCTTACGCTACAAACACTGTTTAATTAGATATCAGGACTAAACTTCTTTAGGGTCATTTAATACGATAACTCGCGTCATATCTTTTCTCTCGTGACATAAATAATTAGGAATACAAGACACTACTCCGAAAGTGAATTTTTGTTGTTTTTTGTTTTTGATTTTGTTTGTTTATCGCGGGACTCCGCAGATGCGTTCGGCTTTCTCGTAGATGTAAATCTGGTTGGTAGACGTAAATCTGCAATCAGTTCACGTTGACCACGATTAACTAGTAGAGGTAGAGCTTGTGCCGATTAAAGAAAAGCTGCAGTTCCCGTATGTTATAGAGGCTTACCAGAACGTGTGCCGAAACGAACAATTGCTCAACTCACCCATCTTGAACGGGTACTTGGGCTTGTTCAACGGTGCATGGCTCTCACCGCCACGTGACCACACATTAGAAAAAAAGAGATCCTATGCTGGGCAGTTGTAATTGGAAATAGGTCTCTCCACAACAAAAGTATTAGGAGTAGTTAGCTCTTATATTAGTAACGTAAATGGTGACGGAGATGGTGACTAAGTGGTGAACGTTTAAGAAAAAGGATGAAAGAGCGATTCTGAGAAAAATAATTTTTAAAAAAAAAAAAAAAAAAGCACTATGTTAAACTGTTCTGGTAAGACTCTCTCGACGAAATGGACAGTCTGATCAGCCTGTAAGCGAATGCCACTTTAATCCCAGAATCAATAATTCCTATGAAAATTTGGATCCTCGGACACCATAGCCAGAAATTTTCACAATACTTTATCTTATCCTTGCTGGCACATCTGACTCGGCCGAACATTGTCTAACCTGTATCTGGTAATGAAATACACCTACCTCCTTAATTGATTGAACGGACGTATTGCCAGTGTTCAGTCTAAAAGAAGTTCCTCGCAGACTTCGTAGGGGGCGAACTGCAGTACTTTCAAGAGAACAAGGGCGTGATTCTCATTACATATGGGAAAAAACGCACTAGTCGACCAGAGTTCCTCTTCCGTTGACACAGTAGACCATAACGGGCGAAATTTTATAACAATGGACAGCATAACCATTTTATCTGGTGCCAGATTATTCAATCATTCTTTGAACTGTTCTGTCATCTTTTTTTTAAAACAAAAACCTTCCCACCTGCCCCGAAAAAAAAAATTGTTTTAAAAATAAATCTCTATCACTTCATCAAACACTTCTGTACGAACAAAAATAATTGTCAGCTATATAAACACCCTTTCCTCGGCCGAAAGACAAGATTTGCAGCATTAACTGACCAACATACCTTCCTTTCCGTGATTAAGAACACGTGGAGGCCGGAGCTGTGGACCGTTGAGTAACGCACAGCGTGTTCAAGATGCGACGGTTACCGGAAAATTGATCGAAATAAATTTCAGCGAGGGTAAATTTCAGCGAGACGAAATTTCATTCGATTAAATTTCCGGATACGAGATGCGACAGTGCCAGTTCTGTTACTTTTTGGGGCACACTTTATTATCATAATCGAATATTTACCCGTGATTAAATCGAATCAATAAATAGTACATCTTGTGAGCTATTGAGCTGAAAGAACGTAACATTTTAAAGTATTTCGATGAAATGTAGAAACTACAACAACAAAAAAGGAGAATCTTCTCTTGATACAGATAAACTTGATTTTAAAAAAATTGAAAGCGTTCATAGTGTCACTTGACGTTGGTGATACAAATTTTATCTGTTTTAAACTTTGGGTCCCAACAATAAAAATACGTCAGAAAGAACTGAAAAATCAGGAAACACAAAAAGTATACACAAAAAAAACGAAACGTTATCAAATCTAAATGGTAATACCAATACTCAATTTAATTATACAGTTACGTTGATATACAAATGCAAAATCAAATATACAGTGAGAAAATATAAATAAAATTAAAGAACAGACCGTTAAGAAGTGTAATACTAAAAAGGTATATATTTTAATCCTCCCCCCCTCCCCACACACACACACAGCGAATCTTGTAAGTCTTGTTGGGCTCCTATAATTCTGATGAGTCTGCCGGTCATGGTCGACCGTCGTATTAATAATGAGAGATTCAGCGTCCCCCCCCCTCCCAGGAAAGAAAATCTAGAAATTCAGTCGTCAGAGAGTATATTCTCTCTCTCTCTCTCTGTACACCCTTCTTGAAACGCAGACAAAGTTTCTCAAGCAAGGGCCGTTAAGGGGGGGGGGGGGTTGGTGCAGCATGTGCCCGTATCAACACGTTAATTGGTGACGTCAGATACTACAAGGACAAAAAAGGGAGGTAAGGAATGCATGCCTCGGCTCGACACCATGCAGGGTGAGCAAAGACTAGGTCAACACACAGGCTATAATTATCGTACAAATCGAGCCACATGTTAAGATTCAATTAATTTCGTGTAGCTGCATCTCGTTCATTTTAGAGCGGGGTGGTCTGAATGATTCTTTCTGAAGAGACATCGACTGCAATGAAATAGGTTACTACATTCCTTCCAAAGTGTTTAATAGTTTATTTATATAAAAATATACGGTTTTTTGAGTGAGTGGATAATATGATATAAATATTTTTAAAAAAATTATCATGATTTTGGTCAACGAGAGAACATCATTTGTGAGATGGAACAAACTTAACGTTCCCAAAATAAAAAAAAATTAACATAAGAAAAACTTGTTTGAATTTATGACATTTATGAACCTGTAGACTTAAGGGGTCAGCACTATGACAGCAGACGAGACCTTTAACGTGGCAAAAGTAATTTCTTTCTTACCAATTATTAGTTTTATTTATAGCTAGACAAAAAGTAATATAATAACACACGCTTTCGAAACCTTCGGGGATGCAATTATATTAAACACAGTAAACATGAATAAGGTTGCAGACTTTGAAAAGAACATGGTCATGGGTGAATCAAAGGATATGTCCAATAGCTACGCTTTATAAATACAAATACTGAAGGGCTCAATATCACTAATCTGCTCATGCCACAGGTATTACGCATGTAATATTTCATTTTGATCTAATATTTAAAACGTACGCCACAGACCCCAAAGACCCGGCTCCACACGCAGCTTTTCCCACACAAGTAGCCCTACTTCCGCTCTATTTGATGTGCACCAACCGAGACAAAAACTTAAGATATTTACGCACTGGAAACAAACAGCGCACCCTTTAACATATTTAATAAAATACATACATATTAAAATATATTTGTAACAATACATTCCCAGTGTTTGACAACGAATGTATTGGAAATAACAAACAATAACATAAACAAAAACACAATAACATGAAAAAAAAACAATTAAATTTAAAAAATAAATAAATAACTCCAACAAAAAAAGATAACAACTAACAAATAACTTTCAAATACAGGCATTATATGACAAAATCGTTGCCCTTTGACCTAGCATAAGTAAAAGAACCATTTAGCGATTAGTGCCCAGCTCAAATTTAAGAAAAAAAAACTTAACCCACATACAAATCTAATTACATCTAAACACCCACAGCGCTGTCATTGTTTAGTCTCACGCGTCAGTTAGCCGGTGTAGCCCTCGAAAGATTTCGAAAATTTTAAAAGCAAAGACAATTGACTGAGTGTGAACTTGTTCCGATGATATTGCTGTACTAACAATTACATTTGTGCATGCAATGGACGCGATACACTGCGTTTTTAAATGTGTAGTGATTTTTTTTGTAGGTCACCGGGATATGGTGGCAAGTGTAAATTAAATCTGTGAAATTGATTTTGTTCTTTAATTCAATTCGTGACTAATAAGTTTGAAAGACTAGGCCCTGTATAGATAATATTGTGTTGTTGTTGTTGTTGACCACTGTAACGTAATAGGATTCTGTATGGGACCAAAAAGGAGGGCGTATTGTTAAAGATATCTACAGTTTGACAGCATGAAGCCGTTAGGATAATGAAGTCTCTTGATAAAAGTCTAGTTTACCCCTTGAGGCGGTAAGGGACAATCCATTTAGTATAATCGTACGTTTTTGCTGTTGTGTTATTTCAAAATTTTTTGTGTTAAGCTGTGGACAGGAAATGGAATTAAAAAAAAAAAAGCAACAACATTTTTCTGACATCGCATTCTGAAACATTTTAATTTATGGCGTCATTCTTTGATCTTTGTGTCGATCGGCAGCAGAAAACGGATCTGTGGCTGAAGAATCGTACACGAGACTTTGTTTGAATCATTGCTTATGTTATCAAGACGTCTTAGAACTGTCTAGCGGGCTTGTGGTATCAACACATCTCATAACTGTCTAGCGGGCGTGTGGTATTAAGACATCTTAGAACTGTCAAGCGGGCTTGTGGTATCAAGACATCTTAGAACTGTCAAGCGGGCTTGTGGTATCAAGATATCTTATAACTGTCTATCCGGCGTGTGGTATCAAGACATCTTATAACTGTCTATCCGGCGTGTGGTATCAAGACATCTTAGAACTGTCTATCCGGCGTGTGGTATCAAGACATCTTATAACTGCCTATCCGGCGTGTGGTATCGAGACATCTTAGAACTGTCTATCCGGCGTGTGGTATCAAGACATCTTAGAACTGTCTATCCGGCGTGTGGTATCGAGACATCTTAGAACTGTCTATCCGGCGTGTGGTATCAAGACATCTTAGAACTGTCTATCCGGCGTGTGGTATCAAGACATCTTATAACTGTCTATCCGGCGTGTGGTATCAAGACATCTTAGAACTGTCTATCCGGCGTGTGGTATCAAGACATCTTAGAACTGTCTAGCGGTCGATAAATTAAACCAACATTTCATTCGATAAATTCATCGATTGACTCATTACAGAGGATACAATTTGTGAAATTGGTTCCTTAAAATTTAAGTTGAATCCGTTTTACTTTAAGACTTTATATTTAGTTTTATCGCAACACAAAAAAAATTCAGAGAATTTTGAAAATAATACGTTTAAAAGCGACAAATTGTTTTTGTTTTGTTCCAACACCGCTCTGTCTCAGTATTCATGGCAAGGAACAAGATCCTAACTTCGGCTCTTAGCATACATGAAGATTCCAATATTTTTGAATCACCTGTTATTGAGTCCTATTTTAAATACCATTTCAACCGTCCACACTTTACACAATGACCTCCGTATATCAATCTGATTATCAATTTTTTTCTGATTTCTTGTCAAAATATGGGAACAGAGGCTGCTCTCACAAACCTCAACACAACACACGTTCAATTTGAATAGGATGGAGTCAAAGACGCTTGAAAACGGCGACGTTGGAAGTGACGCCAAATATTTCAGTGAACTCATGGACGACGCCCAGTCAAGAGATTTTCGTAATGATGACGATGGCATTTGTGACAGCCAGAGTTTGACACCAGCTATCCAAGATAAGTGCTCCGTCAACGGTAAGGGTGGAGTTAAGTACTTCGTCGACGGTGAAGATGATGACTGGCTGCGGGATGGACTCATGGTACTAGGTACCTGTATTGTTTTTATAAACTAAAATTTATAGTTATAGTCTTGATATTGGATCCCTTACAAATAAATCTAACCATTTATCTGAACGGTTAATTTTTTATTTTGTGTTTGAGTTGCTTGGGTAGATTGCTTTCAACATGCCCCCCCCCCCTCTCCCACAACATACACAAAAAAAAAATTAAATAAATGAAGATGTTGAATGACTGTATAAACATTGTATTTAAATTAATGATTTGTGTTTTCGTGTATTGCTTTTGAATTATTGAAAGCTATTTCAGCATGGCCAGGTAATAAGCCTTTAGTCTTACCATTGCATCCCCTTATTTCTATATAATCTTTCCAACCAGGATGTTTCTCCATTTACATGATCAACATGAGCCACCTGAACGTTGTGTCCGTTCTGTTCCTAGACCTACTGGACAGGTTCGACACGAAGGCGTCCACGCTGACAGCCATGCTGTCCGTCACGGGCTTCGCTTACTGCTTGTCATGTGAGTAATAAGGCAAACAAAAAAAAAAAAAAATGTGGGTTTTAATGTACGATGAAGGGTCCCTAATAATGTCAGTGACACTTCGATTCAATTTCCGTGACTAAAAAACAAAGTTTAGAGGATAAAACTAATGTCATTTCTATCATAATTTCGCTAGAGGTTTCATAAAGCGGGCACTGGAGATTTTCTACACCTCAAATATGTTTTACTTTTATTCCGAGTTTGAAACAAACTTTCGCCGTAAGCCGAAACATATTTACACCTGAACACTACACTGACAAGTTAATGTAATGCACACCATTCTAAACTTAGAATGTGTGCAAAGCACTTTGAACTACGAATGAAGTCCGCACCAAAACAATGTATTCTGCGCCACTTCAAGGTAACAATGTATTATGCACCTAAATAAACTATCAATATCGTACGCAGCATACTGAACTGTCGAATTTGGTGCGCACCACACCATTGTTGACTCTTCTAGATATATGACTATACAGCACTGTATGTCTCCTAGCCCAGGTGATTGTCAACGTGGTGATGCCCCGTGTCTCTATAAGATCACTTCTACTGACGTCGTCCTGTGTCCTGTCCCTGTCCACACTCGCCATAGTGGTCTCGCCTAGCTTGCCAGTCTTCATCGTCATCAGCATCATCAAGTGTAAGTTGCTATCAGAATAAAGCTCTACAAAATCTCCCCCCCTCCCC